GAATCCCATCTATGAACTTGAGAGCTTCACGATCCTGATTGGCGTATCTTCTTGGGCCTGTTTCAGCGGGTGTCAAGTAAGTAATCATTTTCGGAGATAACGAGTAACGAGGGTTCCTTTCGATTCATTCAATGATTAGTGACGCTTAGTGGGATTAGCAACTAGCGCCAACATGTGTGGCAGCCACCTTATTTCCTCAGTCTATCAGCTGTGCGACAACAATGCCATTAACCCATGGTTCGAAAGAGTCATCGCCAACAGCAACCCCGCCAACGCCCCGTCTAGGCGTGTACACGGTCCAAGTTGCGGCGCATGCGTCAGCCCGGACTGCTAGGGCCTCGCCAAGACGGCTTGGGATGCATGGGAAAAGGAGCGCCGCTGACCAAGGCTACAGCAGGGCAGTAACTTCAGTAAGCGAATGTGACGTCCATGCAGAATGGATGCGGTGTGTTTGGGCCAAACAAACGTGTACCCATTTGCCAACACTGACATCCCCATTGCATTCTCAACACTGATGCGCCTCCCTCTCGGCAACGTTGTGTCATGTTGATTGCATAATGTAGATAACGCACCTAGCGACATGGATTGGAACATTATTTGATACGAATCAATGTATTCCAAATTGTGTTTTTTTCTTAAATATTCTCTGAGTGAATGATCGAAAAAATGTTTCAAATTTGTAGACATGTCAATACGTGCATTGACAAATCGCAAACTTTGCAATTCTAAGGGCCCATATGTTCAGTCGGCTCAGCATGATGTTGCGCAATTCAATTCCCTGTGTAATTTTGCCGTGCGCGCTTCGACTTTGCATGGAGTGCCAGAGCATTTATGGTGGCATGCTTCCAGCAATATTTGAGTGCATCCTACATTTAAACAGCCCAGATGGCTTCATCAGCTGATACAGGATGGGGTTATTATGGGTGGCGCCAGCGGCGTCAAATACATGCCCTCGTGTCAGCACAGCCTTGGTTTATCATTCAGTTGCTTAGGTTCAGGATTGCGAATTCATTTATTAAATGCGGTCAATCCTGGTTCCTATTGGGCCCCAAATCAATGCGGGGCAAGGGGATATGGTATGGTAGAACCATGATGCCATGGTCGCATCATGTACCAGCCTTGGTGATTCTGCACTGGCAGAGGAAATGCGTACCAGCTGCTATGTTATGATGTGAAGTCCTGAAACACATTAAAGTGACGTCAGGGACGCGTTTGGCATGCAGGATGGATTCTGTCTCCGCTCCACCAAAAGCGGCGCGTACGCAGCCCATTCCCGTCCTCCCTTTTTCTGCATCAAGAACACTTGTTTGCAGAGTTTTCATATCCCTGTCAGCTTCTACATTGCCATGTACATGATTGAAACATGTTCCTGAACAGTTTTGTGTTCGGAAGTAGAGCAGCAAGATTTTCCCCCCACCCACCCACCTTTTTTGCGCGGGATGTTCCGCGAGGGTATTGGGCAGGGTGTTCCGCCTAACGTGTGTAATCTCCCCTTTCAAATGTGCCAAACGCCCTGTGGGCAAATAACGCGTGCAATCCCAAGGATCCTTGCGAGGACAACAAATGACATCGATTTACAGATGTGTGCATTTCACATGTTTTCAAGTTCAGGCATGTGAGGATTTGATTGGTTAGTGTGGTCAAAGAAATAGTTGCATGTAATTTTTGAATGAATACGTCTATGAGTGCCCGTCCTCCCAAAGGAAACGCGAGTTTTTTCTGATGCTTTGGAGTGTGTTGTGAATTTCATGCAGCCACTGTTTTGAGGCCAAGCCTGTTAGCCCACTCCAAACCCATTGCAAGCCATTTTCTATTTAACAAATTTGTGACCTACGCTTCCAGCGTTTGGCTGCTTGACAGCAAAACTGGGGCTTCAGTTGCTGGATACATGCGACCCCGGAATCCGTAACAAGAGTACGGGCTGCAACTGCTGGAAGCTTGAAACCCAACATTTTCCGCAAAAGCTGGAAACATGAAACCCAAAATCTTCAAATCCAAAATCCTCAGCCCTTCGCAAAATCCTCAGCAATCATTGGGCTTCGTTTGCTGAAGAGTCAGATCCAGAATTTTCGTTCAGAATTCCTCTCATTCTTGGACTAATGGGGCATGCCTTGACTAATTTGCCCTGGACTGACGACGGGGCGACTAAAAGCCTAAATCAGGAATCCTCAGTTTCTTGGATAAATGTCTTGCAATTATTGGGGCAATTAACTGAAATCAAACCTTTTTACACCAATGGACTAAGGGGGCGCTCCCCCTGGAATTCATTGGCCGATGCAGAACTCAAATCAGATCTCCTCACCTTGAAACTAATGGCGTGCGCCGTGGCTTTATGGGGTGTTCACGAACTTGAAAAATCACAGGAAGCTTACTTCAAAAAAAACATTTGTTTCAAACATGTTGAGAATGGGCAAGAGTGCGTCATAAACTGCACAAACAACTCCGCCAAAAATGCCGCGAAGGTTTACTATGAAAAACCGCCACAAGATCCAGTTGAAACCAAGAAAACCAAGCACCAATAGAATCGTAAAAGTCCCCAAGTGCTAGTAAGCAGCTTGATGATGACAAACGCATATTGCGAGCACAGTATCAAAACGCGTATTGCCCAGTCAACATGCAACGAAAACAGTAATCACAGTGGGCAATTGTAGAAAATTCAAGCGACCATCGTAATGAAATATGATTTGCTGCCAATTTTTTTGGTTATGGCAAGCTTTGTAGTATTGACAGTTATTATGTTTGTTAGTCATAACACAGCTACCAGAAGTGATGCATCAATATTGGCAACAGTATCACTGACAAACCACCGGAAACTAGTAGTGGCAGTTACGAAAACGCAAAACATGTGAAGCTGCCGTAAGCACATTTGTAACAGATGCTGGAGTACCAATGGTTAATAGCAGCAGTATTTTTTCCAAAGCTAACGGGAGCTCTGGTAAAAGAGTTGTGAATGTCATTAGCCGTACCACTTCAAAACACTCTCTTCCCGCATTAGAATAGACATGACGCTGGGGCATTTTTGTTTGGTTGGAGTATTTGTAGCAGTCCACACATTTGTGCCGATTGTCATAATTCCACAAACCAAGCGGTCTCACGAGGACCAATTTAGCACTTCCAATACTGATTGTGTCTGCCAAGACCCTTCAAGTTACAGAATTCCGGAGGGCTGACACGGCGCAATTTGCATTTACCCTGCAGGCTAGAATATTTGAACATGCAGAATTCAAGGTACGCTGCGCAACAAAGTTCGCAAATAAATCCGATGTATTTTTTTGGTGTTTCGCTTTGACTGCATTTTGTGGCCGTCGCGTCTTGCTGAAAACGTTGGGGCAACATTGCATGCCGATGTGGTGCGCAGGGAATGTGCATGTTGTTTTCATATTTGACTTGAGGTTACTCTTGCTGCAAGCATTTCACAATATGCGCATGTCAGTTGGCCCGAGTGCAAATTTGGAATCCCTTGCCCTGTCCACCCGCTTGGGGGGGAGCATGCTTGGAATGCCTGTAAATATGCAGATGTGCCACCTCAAGAGAAAATTCATTCCGTTACGTGACCAAAAGAAGAGTGAGCACACGTTGCAACAGTCCCGCATCAAGCGTTGGCAAGTGTTGTTTCCGAAGCAGAACAAGGGATGGAATTTTCAATCAAAAGCAAGCATCCCCGACCTTGACCGGATCATTGGAACAACCGTTTGCCGCGATGTTTGCCTGAATGGTGACAGATTTCTCAGATGTCGAGGGCTTGGTGAAAGCAATGGCTTTTCATATCGCAAAGAGGTCGCGTTCTTAAAGCTTCTCAGGTTTGTGAGGTGAGCGGCAAGTCAGCTCTACTGACCGGCGCTGAGTGCCCCTGTCGGCTTTTGGCCGCTGTGCTGCGCAAGCTGGACTACAGGGCTTGCAGGGTGTCTTGTGCAGGTGCTCTCCATTTGTGCATGCGCTGAACGATTTGGAGCTGGACAGTCTTGAGGTGCTGTGCACGATGTGCCTCGCAGTTTGTCAACAGCAGGCTGTTGCCACTCTGCCTACTGCAGGTGGCGGAGCGACAACGCGTGGAGGACCGCAGGTTTCGAAGAAACTTAGTAGAACACAGTTTGTGTGCAGGAGCTCAATCTTCAGATTGCAGAGCTGCGCGACAAGCTGCGCCTGCCTGTTTTGCAGATTGGTGTTCAGGTTTCAAGGGCTGCATGAGAGTTTGGTGCAGGTTGCGAAGGCATGAGCAATGCCGCAGTAGGCGCGTGTTGCAAAACGGCTGGATTGGGAAGAGCACAGGGCCTCACCTGAGGCTGCGAAGGGAATTGCTGCGTCGACGATTTTCGTCCTCACCGCTTGGGCAGCTTATGGCCAGTGCGGATTGGGGCCAAGATGGCAAGCAATCTGTACGGACAGCATCCTGTTTATACCAAGCCAAAGGTGCCACAATTTCTAGCTGCACCTGATGTGTTGTCGGGATCTGAGTGTTGACCTCTGGTGGCTCTGAGACCCTGGGCTGCTGGACGGCCACAACTCTGCACCTATTTCGGTGTTCAAAGATCAAGAGACATCCTGAGGCGATGGCTTTCAGCATCTCCCGCAGCAGCTGCGCAGCTGTGCCGCAGCCCGAGGGCTGTTCCAAGCCTCTTAACTGCTTCAAGTGCACGGGGCTTGTTTTTCATGCAGAGGTTCTGGTATTCACTTCAAGCCTTTGCCGAGGTGCTGGCCAGCTACTGTCAGTTGACGAGGACACAGTTGTACATTGCCCCAGTCCTGTCCCATTATGACAATTTTTTGGGTGCAGGACAAGCCTAGAACTTTGTCGTGACCTTAGCATGCTGCAGCCTTGCTGAGAGGCTAAGTGGCGCTGGGATGCTTTGTGAAGGCTGCACCATCTCTGCGGCCTGGCAAAAAGCCTCTCGCCGCACGCGGCACAGGCGGAGATCACCGCGTTGGCTCCTGATTTGGGATTGTGCGATCGTCAGGTGGTGGCCTCCTCGTTGTATTGGCCAAGCTTGGAGACACTCTCCATGGACCTCCAACGGATTGGGGATTGCTGTCAGCATGCGTCACCAAAATGCGGTGCAGAAGGACTTGGGAAACACTGCCTGGGCGCGGCTTCTGCAGGCTCTTTGGGCATTTCCCTCCTTCCAGATCCTTCATGCAGCTGAGTCCCGTCAGGCGCTCTGGGAGCAAAGCCAAAGTCGAGATCTGTCACAGTGCTGGCCTCAGACTTGGCTCACCAAGCACCCGGCTTTCTTCGGCCTGTACAGCAAAGGCTACGTGGACTGCGCTCGCTTGCTGTCTCCTTTCCTGCAGCATCATGCAAGCATTAGGCATGATGAGCTGATTCAAGCAAATAAGCTTGTGAAGGCAGATGGCATCAGCTAGCTAGGCTATTTTGCAGTCTGAGGAGCGCTCCGTTTCTTCCTTGCAGCAGCCGGTATCCAGGAAATGCTGTTCTCCTCACAGGTAGAGTGCCAACGTGCCGAGGTGGCAGAACCACGCTTCGCCGCAGCTGTCGCGGCTGGGAGCCGGGTTGCTAGGAAGGCGTCAACTCTCATGCTTCGCAACAAATTGACATCTCAGGCTGGGAACTCTGTTAGAGTTCTCGCAGCTGCAGGATGGAAGACCATGCTGCATCCAGAATTGGTCATTGTCAGATTGACTTTGTTTCGTTCCGATTGATGCTGACCTGTTGATTCACCTCGGTTTGGTTTTATCACGAAAGCCTAGGATCATGGGGGGGGTTTTGGGGGGGTGAAATAACTTCAGTCCTGTCGCTTTGCTATCAGTCCATGCACAGTCCATGTGACACAACTGCATTGCATGTTGCTGTTGCCGCTCTCAAGGTTCTAGGGAGTTAATACTCGAGTGCGCGTAGAGAGTGGAAAAGGACAGAGACGCCCGCTCGCCTGTCTACTGTACACTGTAGTGAGGTAGTTCATGCTCGTGCCAATCTCAACGTGGTAGCGGAGCTATTTCCAGGGAGGCTCAGGCCACTCTGAGGTACCCAATGTATCCCCGGGAGGCGCTGACCACTCGGCGGTACCCTGAGGACAAAAATACCACCTTCGTTNNTTGATGGAAAAACATCTTGGCTTGCATACGAAGATGCAATTCATGATTGGTGCGACATAACTGAACTGGACGATGGGGAAAGAGGGCCAGCGTTACGCAATAGACTTGAAGGAGACGCCGCCATTTACAAGAAGATCCTGGACATGGATTCCTTGAAAAGCAAGGAAGAAGGCGTGACTTACTTGAAGAGGACGCTACAGCCATTCTTCGTGAAAGGCAGTGTGGATGTCTTTTTATACCGTTTTCAGCAGTGTATGCGCCGTGGTTCATCCGATCTTATGAAGTGGATGTCAAGATTTCAAATTCAGTTGAAACGTCTGGAAGAAGCATGGGGTGATATCTTGATACCCATCAATGATCTAGCACATGATGAAGTTCGACAATGTACACAATCTTTATCAACAGAGGTGCGACAGGCCATGACTGCCGCCCAGATCCTGACAGCTGCCAATGAAAGAAGAAGACAAGCTCACATGGAGAAGGTGCCGCTGACGAAAAACTTGATTGGACTCCTTTTTGTACCACATGCAGAGTTGAGCTTTGATCAAAGGATGTCACTTACCAGCATTATGGCACATTGTGGTATAGATCTGGTCGGATTGGATGCGGCGCACTGAGAGACATTTTCATTCAGATGCTTTGCAATCCCAGAACAGCATCTGCTCCGAAACAATACCAGCCATGGTGGCCGAAGGCGCGCCCCGGCATCTCATAGCGTGGGGTTCAGTACTCCGGGCTGCGTAATGGCTTTTCCATGTAAATAATCTACTTACTGCAAGAATGATGCAAATTGCCATGTGATAGAGTTTTTGACAACGACGCGGCTCCTTCCCAGAGCAGTACGCGTCGAGTACAGCGCTTAACCCTTGGAAGCCTGAAGCCTTCTCCAGCCCTCGCAACCACGCGCATCTAGCCTTAGCTGGACCTAATCAACGAGCCGATGATAGGTCTGATAGGTGATGCGTGGCGCCCAAATTGTAAATTGACGCTCGGCAGGTTTCTCGGTCTACGTTGCAATCTGTAGGCTTACGCTTTCCTGTTGCAGCGCCTCAGCCTAAGCCCAAACTTCAGCTTTCCATCCCAGGCCCAGGCCCCACACCCAGACATATCCACAACCTGAAGCACGGAGCTCCAATCATGGGATGCCTACCGTAAGCCGTGCAGGGAAGCTCGAAGCTAAGGCTTTTCAGCCGACGCCTCAGCCTTCGATTCCAACCTTTTGGGCTTTTGGCTTACAGCTTGCCAGGCCCCAACCAGACAGGGCAGATAGAGCTCCATATCCCACACATATAGCCTCCATCACAGGAGACATGCACGGAGCAACGGAGGAAGCTCTGCTTCTGAACAACTGCTCGTCCTAATCCATGGCTTGGAACACCAGCATGGGCGTTTCAAATTCAACGTTACCTCTACGTCAGCTTCATCTAGCTCCGCGTCTGGGAGCGTCGTGCTCGGCGCATGGATAGCAGGCTGGAGTCCTTTTTTGGGCGCCTGACAAATGGATTTCTTGATTTTGAAGCGCACGAATAGAGTTTTTGTGAGGATTCAGTTGGGCTTCTGGAGCTGGGTTGGGCCCTTATGGCCACATCTGCCGGTGTGGGGGAGGGGCTTGCGGATTGGTGTGTCTAGAGCTCAGGGGCCGGGATCAAGGATCCAGGGGCTGGCTGTTGCAAAACAGGCGCACGCGAAGACTCAGTACTCGAACCTTTGAGCCTGCCGGCCTCAACCAAGCAAGCGTTGCTCAAGCCTAAGCAGCATGCCTCACCTGGCTCCAAGTTGACTACAGGATTGAAAGCGGCAACTCCTAAGTGAGCACTAGAGCTGCTGCACGAGTTTGAGGCATGTAAAGTTGTGAAGCGGCGCCGTGCTGTTTTCTTGGCTGAGGTTTATGTCCCTGCGCCTGGAAGCCATCGCCTGTGAAGCCCTCACTTGCGTAAGCCCCATAACACCCTTGAGGATTCTGTGCAAGTTGCACTTGACGAGTCTGAAAATGAAAAACCTACATTGTTTTCAACGCAACGCAGCGGGTTTGTGGGCACTGGGGTGTTGTACGATGGCTTACCCATATCATGACAGTCCTGAAGCCCACGCCCTAGCATGCGAAAGCTCCCTAAAGCTCCCAAAATCCTCCACCCCAAACACCTCCGAAACTTAAACCCAGAAGCTGTGGTTCTGAGGGCCCGGGGGTCGACAAGCGAGCCGCACCTCCGCAGCGCGTAGAGTCTTTCCTAAACGGAACGCAAGGTCTAGGCATGACAAACGCTTGCTGAATATCCTGGATCGACGATGCGTGGCTTCTCTGCTCGCAGCGACAGCCTTCGCGTAAATTTCCCAGTTGAAAGAATGGGTTTTTAATTGGTAGGCGCGTCCTCCAGAATGGAGATGGAGTTCGTGACCCCTATAGCCGGTTGAGAGGTCTGACTTCTTACCTAGAACTCCAGGCTTTTGACCCCAAGCAGCATCCATACAAGCTCATCGTAGCAGAAGCCCAGACTAAGCAAAGAGGCTCAGATTTACCTCAAGCGTTTGTCCCGCCGGAAAAAAACATACGCGCGCACAGAGACCCTCCAGCCTTTTCTGCGAACTCCTTGTTTTTCTTTATTTACCTGAGAAGTCTTCCTATCAGACCACTATGGACAAGCCCCTATTAACTCCTGAAGTAGTTGAGAGCTGTTGGAACATTTTGTTGATCCTGTTCATGGTAGTCCCAGTCAAGGTAGGAAGCCCATTGGTGTTCTGTCCTTGCGTGTAGATGATCTCATGATTACTGGTGACGAAAGTTTCCTTGACTGGTTTGTCAACAGTCCGCAAGCACTTCTCTATTGGTCATGAGGATGTCAACGACATTATGTTCACGCTACAGAGAGTTGCTTGGGTGTTTGATGAGAAAACCACAAAAGAAGAAGTGTATAGGTGTCACCCGAGAGCTTAATGTTGAAGAGTTAGAGGAGATCTCTCATCCCGCGCGGGTCCAACGACTCGGAGGGGGTGTAGTAAAGAAATGCGCGCAGCTTTTAGGGTTGCAGTCTAGGACCCAGTTCCAAGCCTGTTATCAAGTCTGCCGTTGTGCTTCAGCTTCTGCAGCACCTACTATAGGAGACTGCCGGGCGCTAAACAAGCTGTGTCGTCAAATCAAGAATGAACCTGCCGAGCTTCATTTTTGGCCATTAAAAGCCGATCCACGAATATTCGGAATTCCAGATGCCGTATTCCGAAACAACTCCCACAAATCCTCGCTCGCAGCGTGGAATGACAGTTTTCCTCGCCGAGCAGCGTCAAAAGACTAGTCGTGATACTCGTGGCTCGCTTGTTTTCTTTGACTCGACCAAAATCAAGCAGACAACCTTGAGTACCACTGTTGCTGAGTTGTGTGCTTGGATGAAGTGTTTCGGTACGTGTCAGATGTTGAGAGGTTTGTGGAAGGACATTTCTGGTTCTGATGATCGCATTCATATGCGCGCAGATGCCAATAATTCAGTTAGAACGGCCTCTACTACACATGTTCCAGAGCAGCAAGACACCATTCACATGATTCAGATGCTTGGGAATGCTCAGGTTCCATTGCTGATCTGTCGCATGTCCGCGCTGAGCGCTGTTTAGCAGATTGCTTGACTAAGGCCAGTGCCAATTGTAACAAGCTAGTAGACTCTGTTATGAGTGGAGATATCAAGGAATTGATTCTCATCCTGCCTTTAGATCTCTCATGGAGCACAAGGCTTTTGTTGCACTTGCTTGGTTGACTAAAGAACTGAGTCTTCTTTCTGAAATTTGCAAGGAGATCTGCCTCATGCTAGGTAGCCTGTGACCTCTAAGCATGGTACACCGACGTGTAAGTAGCCTTTCTTGTGTTGGGGAATTCTCAATCTCTTTTGTGAATTTGTGCCTGCCGCGGTCAACTTTTCAAGCAGTCTCAGGCAACCAGTCACGTGGACTTGCTCTGCGGCAAGATGACGTCTCTGAGCACTGTGCCTCTGAGCCCCGCTCTCAATGGTTTCAGCATTCCCAATGTTGGGGCTGAGCTTGACGACTCAGAACACATGGTGCGTTGTGCGTGGTTCCGTGGCACGGATGGCCAACGCAGCGAGAGGGAGGTCATCGAAGACCTGCTATATGGCGGGAAACCCCAGGTGTTCGCAGCATTGAGTTGTCATACCCGTCTGTTCTCGCAGGACAGGTCAGCCTCACGCAAAGACTTGTCCCGTTGGCAGAAGGACTTCATGAAACCACGTGAGGCCACCTTTGCCGTGACAGAGGCGCAACACTGGGAGTATTCGTTGATGAAGATAGCAGTTGGTTTTGTGACCGACCGGCTATTCCTGAACTACAATCGCCAATGCCAGGACTGTGCGCGTCAGCAATGAAACTAAGAAAAAGAAAGCCTATCTTTCCGCCTTTCAAAACATCACTCACAGATTCTGAGGCACAGACATCCGGCCGACCTTGACAGCGCCTTGCAGCTGTCTCTGTGCCAGGTGGCCGCCGTCACTGATGCTGGGTTAGGACTCAGGCCTTTCTTTGACGTTGATGCTGCCTCGTCCCTTG